AACTAGGGTCTTAAACCTGAACAAAGGAAACTCTAAGAATACAGGGCAAATTGGCTATGGTAGATTGAAAAAAAAAACACTAAAAGATTATTGCATACCATGGTCAAGATATACATTCCACTAAGACACAAAAATCCAATAATTAAGGTGAATCAGTTGTGGCTAATAAAATGTTAGAGATTGTATTCAAGTAAAGGAGGTGGTTTATGAGGTCGGCAGAAAAAGTGGTAAGCCTGAAGACCCTGGGAGGAATTTTGAATCAACCATGGGGTGTCAGCAGACACTGAGCAGCTCAGCCTTTAACCATATATTTCTGTACCAAGCAGAAAGATAATTGAAACCTTACAGATATCTTAAAGATATACAGAAAAAATGACTCCCTGATGTCATATAAAATGTAATAATTTTGAACTGTCTCTTACCTTCATTTTCAGGCCTCAGGGGTTCTGTGCATAGTTGAATTGATAAGGTTTAAGGGGTGATTGTATCAAAGTCCTCAAAATATTAAGGAAAAGACACGGTAGATAAAGATAAACTATTTCCACTGGTTGGGGATTCTAGAATTAGGAGGCATGGACTGAGAATTGGGGTACAACCGTACAGGAGAGATGATGGGAAAGACTTCTATACACAAAGGGTGGGAGAGGTTTGGAACTCTCTTCCACATATGCAGTGGATGCTGGATCAGTTGTTAACTTTACATCTGAAAACGATATTATTTTTGTTAAGCAAAGGTATTAAGAGATATGGGCCAAAGGCAGCTTTATGGAGGTAAGATCACCATTACCTCAGAGAATGATAAAACAGACTTGAGGGGCTGAATGGCCTACTATGAATGATACATTGTTTTTCCACCTTTGAGGTCTAGTTGGGATCCATCAGTGCAAGACCAGTGGGCTGTTTTTTATTTATGGTTCAAAGTTCTAATGGTTTTGGGTAAATACCATTTAATTCCCAGTGAACATAATCCATTGTTCAGTCAAAACCAAATTGGCAACTTGCAGTCATATAGATTCAGGAGTGGCTGATGTAGGATGTAGAAATTAGAGTGACAGAATAAGCAATGATTTTCTGATGGGTGTTTGAGGAATCATGAGAAATTCCCTTTGCTATTTCTCGTTATTCTTAAAAACATTCTAAGAAATTGTATTTGTCATTTCACTGAGAAAAGCGTCAATATTAGGGGAGAAGTGATGGACTGTTACTTTGCATTGGCCAGTATTTTACAGAAAAGGAGAGCTTTATCCATCTACTGATACCATTTAATATTTTGTCTGCCTAGTGAAACCTTCCTTTCTGCATTTTCTTTCTCAGTTGTAGAGTTGATGTTTCTCTAGTCAGTCTCCATAGCTTATCTCCATTTCATTTCAAAATGCTCAGCTGTAGTTAAATGTTGCTTTAGTACAATAACTTTTAGAAATTAAGGATAAGGATGCAGCAATTATTAAACATAATCCCCCCTATTTGCCTTTGCAGACTTTATTATTTGGGCGTGACCTCATCATAAGGTAGCCCCATCTCTGATATCTTTACAGAAACCATGCTGATAAAAACTTGCTATATGATAATGATAAAAGATGTTAACAGAGTAGAAAGTAAACATACCACAATATAGGAACGACTTGAATTCTTAAATGTCTGTCACCTATGGACTTTAACTGTTGGAAACTGTTCTCTGTGAAAGTCTGATGTGAATCATTAACTATTTTTATCCTTTACATTACTTTTAATCAGTTGCTCTGTTAAAATTAATGGACAGAATATCTTGCTGGGACCCAGTGACCTTTTGCCCAATGCATCTCCTTCCTCCCTTTCTGAAGTCCCAAGAGTCCCTCCCCAGTTAAAAATAAATAAATTCTGTAAAACTGTTTGAAGGAAAGGCAGGTTTATTTTTATTAGAGGTGGAAGGGGGAAAGTGGAGCAAAGTGTACTATTTAGATTATAAATGCTTCTAACAAGACGGTGAAACATGGAAATGCTATCTCTGAGAGCTGGAGGAATGTTTGATCGATTCTGAGGTAGCTTTTTCAGAGTATACTAAGCCCTTTTAGATAATAATAGAGAGAGCATTTTTGATTTCTAGTATTTATTCCTCTCTTTTCAGCATGCAGATAAACATCATCTGACTTGGATACATTCAGTACAGTAACAGACAAAAAAAAATGCTATAAGAGCTAATTGCTTGTCTAAAACCAGACAAATGTGGCTCTGTTGCACAAATCCATCATTTCCATTAAAATTGTTGTTGTGATATCGTATTCCTTCACTGTGTGCCACTAGAACCTTGAATTAATGCACCAATTTAGTTTTCTGTACAATAATACAGGGGTTTTACAATCCATTACTGAGAAATGGCTCTGCCACAGCATTATATTGCCCCCTGGTGGAAACACCATCATGGTCATTGTAATGGAAAGGGATGTCAATTTTTCTATAAGATTGTTTCTCTTCTAAAGCTGTACACAAAAAAAAATGCTTGATAGGTTCTTCAAATCTGTCACATGATGGGATATCAGAAGGTGGAAATTAGATATTATGTTGAATGTTTGATACAAAATGATTAAGTTTGTTTAACTTTCTTGGTGAGTCAGGGAGATTCTCACACCAGTAATTACAACTCATTTCTTCATTCTCACGGAAATTGAGTTCTGGATCTGTTATTTTTTCTCTTGGATGCCTCAGATAGATTGTGAAGGTACAGTACTGTACTTGGGTACTTCCAAAGCCATTGCTGTAAAATAAAGAATATCCCTATCCTCAATTTAGGGGTAAGTGGAAACTAGTGATTTATTGAAGTTTCACTGGAACGAGGAACAAATCAAGCAACTGTCCAATGCCATCAGAGAAGCTCTCTTTATGAAATGTTTCCTTCAGTTTTTCTTTGGTGTTTTGTTTTTAAGTTGACAAGACTTGAAAAAATACAAAATATAATGTGTAAAATGTTTTCCAATAACTGTACTGTCTTATTTTCTTGTTTAAGATTCTGATGAGGAACCTATGTGTAATACCCAGTGTTAGCTGTCCCTCAGTAGCAGTCTCACCTCTAAATCAGAAGACTGTGTGTTCAAGACCAACTCCAGAGACATTAGCGTATGATCCAGGTTTAAATTTCTGTGCAGTATTGAAGGAGTACAGCACTGTTGGAGGTGCCATCTTTCAGAAACAATGTTAAAATAAAGGCCATAACTGTTTGACAGGTGAATGCACAAGATCCCACAGCAGTATTTTAAAGAAAAGCCAAAGAGTTCTCCCTGATATTGGAGCCAACTCTTATCCTTCAACCAACATTAATAAAACCAACAATCTGGTCATTATTGCTGTTTGTGTGTGCTTTTTGGCTGCTATGCTTCCAACATTACAACAGAGACTATACTTCAAAATATACAGTTAGCTGTAAAATGCTTTGAAAACCCTGAGTTTGTGAAAGATTCCATTTAAGTATAAGTTCTTTCCTTTAATAGTTAATTGTTATAACAACTAATATCTTCCCAAAGATAAGCAGGATTCAGGATATGAATGGCAATACTGATCTTTTGACCTCGGGGACCATGTAGCACAGCCTGAACTGAAGGTTGTGGAATATTGGAAGCTATTCTACAACAAACATCAATCTGTACGGAAACAGGTGAAACAACTCCTTCACAGTTGTTTAAAAGTAATAGCTAAGGATTGGTGGAAAATTTTAAATAATATAGCAGGTTTCCAGTTGCAAAAATTCACTGATGGATGAAGTGATCAATTTATTGTTTAGATGTTTGGATCTTTTCCACAGGTTTAGTGGATTAAAGATGGATTGAAGTTTCAAGCCAAGATCTGAAGCGTATCTCAATCTATTTGAAATTTCACAGTCCGGAACATTCAGGTTCCAAAATGGATTTTGAATTTAGCACAGTGAACATCTGTTTGGAAAAGCTCTGAGGACTGATGCACATGATATAATGTTTTGCTTATCACTGTCTCGTCAGCAACTGCTTTTAATTTACTGTTTCTTTTAACCACAGGATTTGGTGATAGACTTCTGAGTGAAGTAAAGAAACTGGCACCAAAAGATATAAAAATAAAGGTATTGTTATGTGTTCCAACACCCCATATTTGGCATCTCCCTTCTTCCTCAACTGGTTCACAGCTCATTTTGTGTAAGCATGAGACAATTGATGATGGAGTATATGGAACAGACTTTACTGATGCCCGGGGTGAATGATAGGCACATCCAGAACAATAGAGTATCTTCTGTTTATCTTTGCTGCCTGTGAAGGTCTGTTAAAACCATGCTCTTTAGAGATCATATTTAGCGCACATCATTTTCCACATAGAATCACAGAATTATTACAGTGTAGTGCACTTGACCCTTGTGTCTCTGAATAGTGTTGTCCATGATATCTAGCATCATCTACCTCCACACCTGCACGTTCTCGCATCTAAATTTTTAAAATATCTTTCTGAAATTGGAAGAGGATAATTCAATACAGCTTCTCAAGCTTGTTCTGCCATTTGATTTGATTCAATCTTGGCAAATACGTATAACTGCCAAGGTGGAATTTGAAGCAAATGCAGAAAATGTTGGACAGATTCAACATGTCTGACAGTATCTGTGGGGAGAGAAACAGAGTTTATGTTTCAAGTTCGGTATGACTCTTTTTCCGAAGAGAATTCAGGTGGAATTTGACCTTGCATTCTTTGTTTATCAATCCCATAATATGAGCAGTATAGATATACAAACACATGTTCACAGACTTGACTGTGTATGGGGGAATCATCTTAATTTAGATTCAGTACAACTAAAGAGCAATCATAGTTGTGTATGTCAAAAAGTTAGATATTTTCCTTTAAAATTAAAGTTCTAAATATTTAGTTTCCAGTGCATGGTAAAGTATAATGTACACAGGACTCTGAAATCAGAAGTGCTGGAGCACATTTCCTATATTAAAGATTGCATTTTAGAAAGATTTCCAGAACATTATTAAAAACAAAGATGATGTGTCTTAGAGCCATTAAAGACTTATAGTAGTTTGATGCTTAGATGTTCTTTTCTGGAAGATTCGATCTTGCTGATGTGTAAACTTTTGAGATTAAATAGTACTTTATCCTTTCTGTATCAATTTCGTTACAGATCTCTGCCCCACAGGAGAGGTTATACTCCACATGGATAGGGTAAGTGGGTAACTTGAGGTACAATGCTTTTAAAAATGACTTAGCGAAATATGGTCTGATTGTATTTCTGATCAGACCTATGGAGTTTCTCCAGCAATTTCTGTTCATGTCCAAGAGGTGATTAGTCTATGAGGTCAGAATAGTCCGCTCAACACCATTACTACTCACAATAGGAACAATTTGCCACTGCCTTTATCAGAGTAAAACATTCCTAGTTGTTTTACAGGAGTGTCATGGAGCACAATTTGACAGATGGGTGTGGGTTTTAGAAAATGTGGTTTGCGGGATGGAGAGGCTTGTGGGAGATGGGGGAATGCCAGCAGCAAGGTAGCTGAAGGCAAGCCCACTGCTGGTGGAGATGTTCATTTTAGATGTGTGAGAGATAAGAGATCTCTGAAGGAGCTTACAAAAATAGGGGCGAATGGGCTTCTGAGGGGATTTCAAAACAAAAATGAGAATTTTAAAATTGATATATTGCTAGAATGGAAGCCAGTGTACTTTGAACTTGTGAGTGAACAAGACTGGGTCCAAAGTTAGGATGTGGGAAGCAGAACTTTGGATGATATTAAATTTGTGGAGGGTGAAAGATAGGAGACTAACAAGAACATTGGCATAGTCATATCTAGAGGTGACAAAGCACAGTTGATGCTTTCAGCAGGAGATGAACTGAGCTGGAAACTGAGCAGGCTGTTGTTAAGGAGGTGGAACTAAATGGCCTTTGTGCTGGAAAGTAAATGTACCCAGAAGCTCATCTCAGGGCCAAATGGAATTCAAGATCTAAAGGTCTGGTTCAGCCTCAGACTGCCTGGAAGGAGGATGGAGTCCGTGGTGAGGGAATAGAGTTTGTGACAGGGACTGAAAATGGTGATTAAATCTTCCTAACATTAATTGGAAGCAATTGTTGCTTATTCAGTATTGGATGTCGGATATAAAGGCAAGACAGATTAGAAATGGTGGACAGGTCAAGAGGGCAGGTGATGAGGTTGACTGGTTGTCATCAGCGTACGTGTGGGAGCTGATAGGATGTCTTCAACTGATGTCTCTGAGGAACAGTGTCTGGACGTGAACTAGGAGGGAGACAAGGATAGATCCTTGGGGTTGGCCAGAAGTAATAGTACAGGAGTGGGAAGAGAAACGATAATAGGTGATTCCCTAACCAGAACTGCATAGCTACAAATGGAAGCAAGCGAATGGTGCCTCACTCCACTAGCCGACAGTGGTCAGGCGTTGGTAACTGTTTTCAGAAGCTGCCAACAGATTAAAAGGTGGGCTAGTTTCTCCTGGTCACAGGCATAGTGATGTGACGTGGCTTTGATAATTGTCAGTTCCTTGTGATTCTAGGGACAGGAGCCTGAAAGGAGGAGATTCAGACATGAAGTTGTAACCAACATGGGAAATGGGCACAGATCTTGGAGACAACCATATATCCAGAGTTGGGAGAAAAAAGGGAGGTTGGAGATGGAGTGATAATTTGAAAAGCAAAGGAATCAAGAGAGGGTTTTTTTTTGGGAGAGACACAAGTACTAGATTTTGGAACAGATTATCAAAAATGAACAAAGAAATCCTGCTCTTCTTTGAGAATGTAATGTAAATATTTTATTCCCAGAGTAGGGAAGCTTATGTTTGTTGTCTTCTGTTCTTTGATTATCTGCTTATTTTTACAGAGGCTCTATTCTGGCATCCCTTGACACATTTAAGAAAATGTGGGTGTCCAAGAAAGAGTACGAGGAAGATGGGGCCAGAGCAATCCATAGGAAGACATTCTAAGCCCCTGCCAGAATTGGCCCATACATAAACTCACTCTGATGTAAACCTTGCTTGTCTGGGTATGGTGTATGCCTGTAAGAAGGTGAATGTGTGTAATATGAGAGCACCGAGGAGATACAAAGTCTGGTTTTGGGACACACGTCATCAAAATGAGAGAGATTTTGGTCATTTTCATTTTTTCTCTGCTCCCCCCACCCCTTTACTTTCCCTCTGATTATGTTGTCATTCACAGTTAACATGTGGTGTGGGAGTCCGGCTACATACACTAAAACATGCCAACTGTAATTGGCTATGGCCACTGTCTCTGATTTCTTTGAGGTTATGATGTTAAGCCAGAATAAGCAGTGAGAGGAAATGAAAGCTCCTGAGACAGTTGGGTGGATGTTAAAAGTGTGGTATGAGTGGTAATTTTTAACAGGCTTTTGTTTCTATTGCTTTTGAGACTGGTAATGAATTTGTAACCTATTGTGCGTAGACAAACTGCACGTCCTGATGTTCCTAAATTTTTTAAGAAATATATTAGCAGAGCTCCGTATGAATATATATATATATATCCCAGTGCTTTTTTGTCCATGTCTAGTAACACTAACATATACTGGCTTGTGTGCCCACTAGATGAGGTACTACCGTTACCCCTGCAGGCTGCAAGTATTTTGTGATATTTAGTCAGGTGTCAATAGAGAGAACCAGCAGGAAAGCCCTTTAGAAAACAAGGGCAGACTAGTGGTAAAGAGTGCAGCATGTAAAATATTAAGTTATTTTTCATTCTTTCTTTGTAAATGTTTTAAGCTAAGCCAACAGAAACAGGTCAGAAATCCCAGCTTAAACATTGGTTGCCATATGTAAGGAATGAAACATATTTTAAACTAAAATATGTGTCAGTAATACATTAATGGACAAGGGGTAAGCACAATGCAGTTTAAAGCCAGTTGCAAAGCAAGTGTCATTCAGTTCAGTTCATTCAGATCACCACCACCCCAGTCACATTGTGTACAAGTCTGATTTGCTGACTGTTGGTTCTAGGAATGCAAACGATGGTTTGGGCTGCAGTTGCTTTAAGTATTCATTTCCCAACCATTGTCACAGGGTGACGAGACTGGAGTGGGAGAAAAAAGGAAATTGCAAATTGAATTGCTCAGAATCAGGAACGAAATTCAAACCTGTGGCGGAAGGCCTTCCTGTTAATAATACTGTCATAATGTTTAGCATGAAAGAAACGAACAAAGTATTCATTTTAAAATGAAAAGCTGGTATTTAAGCCTTAGAACTGTTTGTAGTGTCACTTGTATGACTACAGTCGAGCAGTAACACGTGATGTTATAAGTGCCAGTCATATTTTTTAAGAAGTGCAGTTGTTAATGTCAACTGTAATGAAGGGAACTGCTGTCAACCACTGAACATGTTCTGCTGAGAGTAAACATGACAACATAGCAGATCAGCCTTTTCGTTGTTTAGAGTTAATTTGAATGGTAAAACAAAGTTGTTTAAATCTTTACCTTAGCACATTTGTTTTAGAAAGTCACTGAAATTGACTGAGAACACCACTGACATTAGCTTGTCATGACTGCTGTAGATCTAGGTCTCCTGTACAATGAAGACTTTGAATAGGTCCATTCTGACTGTAGCTTTTACTACGTTTACCATCCATTGTTTTACCATGCAGAAGTATTGCGAACTGTGCTGCCAGGTGATGCCACTGTACTTGAAAACCTTAAAATAAAAGCTGTTCATAAGCACTCATGATTGCTTCTATAATCATTAAATGTGGAGATCAGCACCACCAGACCTAAAAGAACAGGTAAAAGATGCATTTATTAAGGTATTAACCACAAGTGGCTATTGCACTACATTTGAAAAGTATTTGAGAAGAATGAAACAATTTTGCATTTCTGTAGCAACTTTTCTTTCCTCAGAGCCCCCAAAAGCACCTCCACACCCACATTTGAAGTTTAGTCGCTCTTATGCAAGCAAACAAGTAAACTGATTTGAACACAGAATGATTCCACATCAAAAAATAAAATACCAGCTATAGGAGTTCTGTTCAAAAACAAAGTTGCTGGAAAAGCTCAGCGTCTGTGAAGGAAAAAACAGAGTTAACGTTTCAGGTCTGGTGACCCTTCCTCAGAACTGGTGGTGGCTGGGAAAATGTCAGTTTATATGCAGAAAATAGGGAGATGGGTAGGGAGTAAACGATAGGAAAGAGCCTTAAGAGAGAGAAAGACAGTTGGACGGACAAAGGAGTTGATAACGATCAGGCTGGGAGGGTGAGTAGTTGTTAATGGGGACTGTTAGTGACTAACAACAGGTAGTATAATGGCAGGCTATGTGTATTGTGTACGTGGTAACAATGCCTGGTGTGTGGGGTGGGGGCCTGGGACATGGGAGAGTTTAGGCCCTAAAATTATTGACCTCAGTATTGAGTCCGGAGGGCTGCAGGGTCCCCAAGCGGAAAATGTGTTGTTCCTTCAGCTTGCGCTGACCTTTGCTGGAGCACTGCAGCAAGCCAGAGACAGAGATGTTGGCCAGGGAACAGGGTGGTGCATTAAAGTGGCAGGCAACAGGTAGCTCAGGGTCTTTTTTGCAAGATGTCTGCGAAGCAGTCACCCAGTCTACACTTCTTTTCCCCAGTGTAGAGGAGACCACATTGTGAGCAGCGAATGCAGTAGACTAGATTCTGGGAAGTGCAGTGAAGTGTTGCTTCACCTGGAAAGTATGTTTGGGCCCTTGGATACTGTGGAGGGAGGAGGTAAATGGGCAGGTGTTGCACCTTTGGTTACAGGGGAAGGTGCATGGGTCTATGGGGGATTGTTGGGGGTGAAGGAAGTGTGGACCAGGGTGTCCCGCAGGGAATGGTCCCTGCGGAAGGCGGACAGGGGAGGGGAGTGTGTGTCTGGTGGTGGCATCTCGCTGGAGGTGGCTGAAATGGTATCTGATGATCTTCTGGATGTGGATGCTGGTGGGATGGTAGGTTAGGATAAGGAGAACCCTATCGCTGTTGCGGGAGAGAAGAGAGGGGGTGAAGGCAGAAGTGCAGGAGATGGGTCGGACCCGATTGAGGGCCTGTCGACAACGGAGCTGGGGAATCCTCGGTTGAAGAAGAAGGTGGACATTTCGGAGGCTCCCTTGTCGAAGTTGGCCTCATCTGAACATATACGGTGGAGATGGAGGAACTGAGAGAATGGGATGGAGTCTTTACAAGAAGTGGGATGTGAGGATCTATAGTCCACATAGCTGTGGGAGTCAGTGGGTTAATAACGGATAATAGTGGCCAGTCTATCCCCAGAAATGGAAGCAGAAATGTTGAGGAAGGGAAGGGAGGAGTCAGAGATAGACCAGGTAAAAGTGAGGGCAGAGTGGAAATTCGAGGCGAAATCGATGAAGTTTTCCAATTCCAGACGAGAGAGGGAAGCAGCACCGATGATATCATCGGTGTATCAGAGAAAGAGTTGTGGGTGGGGGCCGGAATAGGACTGGAACAAGGAATGTTCCACGTACCCCATGAAGAGACAGGTATAACTAGGGCCCATGCGGGTACCCATGGCCACCCCTCTTACCTGAAGAAAATGAGAGGAGTTAGAAAGAGAAGTTGTTGAGGGTGAGGACAAGCTCGGCCAAGGGGAGGAGGGTGATGGTGGGTGAGGATGGTTCAGGTCTTTGCTCCAGGAAGAAGCAGGGAGCCCTAAGACCCTGCTGGTGGGGAATGGACGTGTAAAGGGATTGCACATCCATGGTAAAGAGGTGAAGGCTCGAACCAGCAAACTGGAAATTTTGAATCTGGCGTAAGGCGTCAGAGAAATCATGGACATGTGGGCAGGGATTGGACCTGGGGAGAGAAGATGGAGTCAAGATAGGAAGAGATGAGTTCTGTGGGACAGGAGCAGGCTGAAACAATGGGTCTGCCCGGACAGTCCTGTTTCTGGATTTTTGGGAGGAGGTAGAAGCAGGCTGTGCAGGGCTGGGGAACGACCAGTTTGGAAGCAGAGGAGGGGAGATCACTGGATGAAATGAGATTAGTTATTGTAGTAGATACATTGGCCTGATGTGCCATGGTGGGGTCATGGTCCAGGGGAAAGTAGGAGGAGGTATCTGAGTGCTGGCCTCTGCAAGGTAGATGTCAGTACGCCAGACTACAACAGCACCACTCTTATCGGCAGGCTTAATAACAAAAGTCAGGGTTAGATCAGAGTGCAGTCAGTTCGGAGGGAGATAGATTGGATTTGGTGAGGGGGGGGACAGAGAAATTGAAGCGACTAATGTCACGTCGACAGTTCTCAATGAAAAGATCAAGTGCAGGTAAAAGGCCAGAGGGAGGGGTCCAGGTGGAAGGAGAGTGTTGGAGCTGGGTGAAGGGGTCCATGGAACGGGAAGAGGACTCTTGTCCAAAGAAACGAGCACGGAGGCGAAGACGGTGGAAGAAGAGGTCAACGTCATGTCGTGCCCGAAATTCATTCGGGTGGGGACGCAGAGGAATAAAGCTGAGGCCTTTGCCGAGTACAAAACGTTAGGTGTTCTGTTTATTGGTGCTATTGGTTGAGGGATGAATGATAGCCCAATTCACAGGAGGATTATTATCATCCATCTGAAGAGGCAGGTAGAGACTCTTAGATGTATTACCTAAAAAGGTGAAATCACTAAAAATATTCTCACTATGACACCAGTAGGCTAAAACAAAAGGTGTCTCAAACAGAATGAATAATTCCAGCAAAAGGGCTATAATACCGAGGTAAATTACCCTGTATGGCCTCATTTCTGCACTAATATTCCTATTATGCCAGTTGTATTACAACCAAACCTTACTAACCAGCCAATGCTATTAACTTTAAAAATAAAAACAGAAAATGCACAGCAGGCCAGTCAGCCTCTAAAAGAGGATATTAATTTCATGGTTTGATGAATAAAATCCTACTCAGTGAGCTATGTTTCAAATTTAAAATTTTTCCAAAATTAAAAAAAATCTTCTATCTTATCTTCGGTCCTGTGCTTGGGGTTGGCAATATTTTTTAATGTATCTGCTGCTTTGCTTTTTTACTTTCATTAGGTTTTGTACATTTATAAATGTTTTGTACTTTGAATTGAAGCTATTAATAAAAATTGCTAAAATCAAGTTATCTAAATTTAACCTCAGCATAAAATTCTCATTGTACTGATGTTTATCTCAAACATTGTGTAATTGACATTTTGGATAAAACGAGTCAGGTAAACTACATGACATTTTAAACCTATTAGAATTTTCCCTCCCTTTTGAAGTAAGCACAATTTAAAATATACATATTTAATTAGCACATTTTCCTTCTATAACTGTCCAAACTGATCCCCTTTAAAGAGGAAAAGCAGCTTACACCTGCAACAAGACCTTTGCTATTAGAGCAAAACTCTTTGCAATTGAAATCAAACTATAATTTTTACAATAAGACGCAGATTAATCCCATTCAATATTATTTTACCATTTCTTTACTGGTATATCTCCCATAGCATTCCATACATTGTCAGAGAATATGGTTACTTTCTTATTTGTCTTTGATATCTTTGTGAAGCTATTTATCTCATTTTTCTTTGGAACCAGTCACTAACATCTGTATTTACAGTGAGAATTGCAAGTAACCTATGGCCCTCATCAGCTCCTTTACCAAAGCACTCACTTTCTCTTTGTTCCTCTGTCAAGCAGGTGTGAGAACCTTACTGTGAGGCTCTCTCAGAGGAGGAGAGCTGTCCTGACAATGGTGAAATAAAATTCCAAAGGCTTTCATCAATGATGGAGTTGCAGTGCTGAGTTTACATAGGGAAAACCCATTGTAAATATTTCAGACCAAATTTCCCGGCTGATTACTGTTTTTGTGTAAATGATATGCCTTTTCCTTCAACTTCCAAATAAATTTTACTCCCCAAACCGTTTTAGCGTTCTGGACTTTGGCAGTTAGGTTTACAGAGTTTAAAATGGTACATTTTGACCTTTAAAAATCAATGTTACATTCATGGGTTTCTCCCAACACAGGTTTCAAAGCTGGTTTCTCCCAACACAGGTTTCAAAGCTGGTGTCACCACAACACTCATTGGAAACGTTCAATTCATCAAGTAGACGAATCTTAGCCCAAATGACCAAAAGATGTAGGAACAGAAATGAGTCAATCAGGTTTGTTCTATTGAACAAATCATTGCTGGTCTGATAGTCCTCCACATCTTGAGGTTTCTGCCCCCTTTAAATGGTTAACAAAACATATGCCATTCTCACACATAATTGGCTCAACTATTCCAAAAATAAATTCTCACAGAAAAGCTAACAATCATGTGTTGACTGTGATCATCCTTTTTAAGGGAACGAGCCAGAATTTACAGCAGCATTGAATCCAAAGAACCACTTTCCTGGGAACAATTACCTGTATTGACCACATAGTGTATTACAGTTAGAATTTGGGATTGTAATTGGACAAAGCAGTTTCTAATAGACTCAGACATTTACATTAGGAGGCAATTTGACCCATAGTATCTGTGCCAGTCAACAAAGATCTGACAACATTAATCCCATTTTCCAGCTCTTGGCCCTTGCTATTACAGCTGAAGTAAATTTAAACTTTAAGTAGGCAGGGGGATGGGATCCTGACGAGTAGTTCATGGGAGATGATTAGCTAAGATAGAATTAGTAATTAAAACACAAGTAAATGAAGGCAGAGGATGCATGGGTAGGGAAAAAAAGTGAGTCTAGCAAGGTTAAATAGAATGTATTTTAGTGAAAGGAGCCTGAGGAATAAGACAGCTAAGCTGAGGGCACAGATATGTACAAGGGAATATGATATAGCTATGACCAAGACCTGGCTGAAAGGTGAACAGGATTGACAGCTAGTTTTGTGGTATTCCGATAAGACAGGGGAACACCCATTGCCATATCCTGAAGGCAATGGCAACACAAGCAAATACTGTATCTAAATACAGTACTAAATACAACCACCCTTTCAGGCAGTGAGTTCCAGACTCCCACCATTCTTTGCTGAAGAAGTATCATAAACACTCCTTTAACCTTCTACCTCTCACCTTAAATCTATGCCCCTAGGATATTGTCTTTTCTATTAATGGAAAAAGTGCCTATCCAACCTATCTTTGCCCCTCATAATCTTACACATCTGCTAGATTTCCTTTCAAACTTCACTGCTCCTAAGAAAACAACTCCAGCTAATCCAATACACCATAGCTCAAACGCAACAGCCCACGCAGCATCCTGGTAAATTTCCTCTGCACTCTTTTGCTTGCAATCACATCTTCCCTATAATGTGGTGAGCAGAACTTCATATTGTGCCAATGCCAGCATTTTATTCAGTTTCAACGTAATCTCCCTGCCCTTGTATCCTGTGCCTTGCCTAAAGAAGGCAAGTAACCTATATGCTTTCTTAACCACTTATCTACCTGCCATGCAAATGCACACTCTGATCTTCCCAGGGTCTGACTATTCATAGTGTAGCCCCATGTCTATTATCACTCCCTAAGTGCATTACCTCACATTTTTCCAGGTTGAATCCATTTCCCACTATGCTGCCCAGCTGACTAATCCTCCTTGGGGGAGGTGGGGAAGGGGGTGGTGATGGCTAGCCGCCTCATTATTTAGCACCCTATCAACTTCCATGTCACCTCTGAACGTCTTAATCATACTCCCTACATTTAAGTGTAAATCATTAATGCAGACCACAAAGCACCAGAATGTAGCATCATCTTAGTGTCAAATCATCAACAGTATCCTTGGAGCAGTAATTAGCCTGATTATCTTTCCAGGCTGGTTCCCAGAAGTGAACATTGGTATTTTGTTCTGTTTTCAAACAAGCTGCTGTTCAAAGTTCAATTGTCAATTGCAACTCAATTCCAAACTAAAAGTGAGAAAATTAAAAGAAAAACCAGTGATGGTCTCAACAGTTACATACTGGCTAAAAAAGTTCTGGATACAATTTAAGGATTTTGTAAAAACCAAAAGAACTGCGGATGCTGTAAATCAGGAACAAAAACAAAGTTTCTGGAAAAGCTCAGCAGGTCTGGCAGCATCTGTGAAGGAGAAAACAGAATAAACATTTCAGGTCCAGTGACCCTCAGAATTACGGATTTTGTACTCCGTCTAACTTGCACACTAAAACTCTCAGTTAATATTTGGGTCGCAAAAATCTATTAATACTGACTTATTATTCCTCACTGTTCTGAAATTTGACACCATATTCAATCCTTTATCTCCCCCTGTTCAGAAGCCTATGGTACTCATCCAACTGTGTTTATCCCTGTTGTAATTTTACCCACCCTTGTGGCCTCATTTGATGATCATTCCAAGATACCATCTTTCCTCACTGCTGGAATCGATTCCTCAATTAATATAGTGACCCACTCCTCTTCTATTTCCCTTTCTCATCTGAATACCCTATAACCATGAGTATTGAGCTGTCAATCATGCTCAGCTTCCAGCCAAGTCTCAGTCATAGCTATGATATCATACTCCCTTCTGCATATCTGTGCCCTTAGCCTAACTGTCTTATTCCTCGGGCTCCTTTCATTAAAATTTAGCTTTACTAGACTCATTTTTTCCTATCTAGCCAATGCATCCTCTCCCTTCACTGACTTGGGTTTTAATTACTAATTCCATTTTAGCTAATTATCCGCCACAAACTACTTGTCAGGATCACATTCCCTTGGCAATCCAGTTTAAAAAATCCATTCCGACTACAATAGCAAACATCCCCAAGAGAATAAAAACCAAAAGAACTGCGGATGCTGAAAATCAGGAACAAAAACAAAGTTGCTGGAAAAGCTCAGCCGGTCTGGCAGCATCTGTGAAGGAAAAAACAGAGTTAACATTTTGGGTCTGGTGACCCTTCCTCAGAACAGTTCTGAGGAAGGGTCACCAGACCCAAAACGTTAACTCTGTTTTTTCCTTCACAGATGCTGCCAGACCAGCTGAGCTTTTCCAGCAACTTTGTTTTTGTTCCCCAAGAGGATGTTGATTCTGTTCTTGTTCAGATGTAGCCCCTGCATCTTCAAATTGGGAGCTTCCTTTCTACTTGTTAAAAAAGGACATTCACAGCACGAACACCCAGTATGTACACAATTTATAATTTAACACCCTACATTACTCACACATAATGCCCTAGGAGAGCCACTAGTCAATATAGCAACATTTGGGGACCCCATTAAAACAGTTTTGGTTCAATCAATCTAGGGATGAAGTGTATTTTATTTGTTCTCCAATTTTCTCCCCATCCCATTCATCTTTTAAAAGATATATTTCCCAAAGGATGTCATTGCACATTGGAATCTTATGACCATTACTCAAGTAGAGATTTTGGCATTATGTATCAGCCTGTGACGAAGCAAGATCATATGGTGCCCTCACCTGATGCCTGAAGTGTACTCAAGAAAATTTGCTGCAAAGTTAGCTGATTCCAAAGCTTTGGCTGATTTTCTCTTCCTTTGCCCTCGAGTGCTGCAGCAAATTGTGGTGCCCCGACCTCCGTTTAGTTAGGCATCAGCTAACTCGGGCAAGATTGATCAATTGATCCCAGGCACTGTGTCATCTGGAGGCTTGTCTGAGTTTTTGAACAATCTCACAGGATCAGTTTTCTTAAAACAGAATGTTATTTTGCTAACGTGCCAGGTTAAATTGGTTAACACATTTTATTCTATTTTGATTAATTCATTGGGGAGGGGGGGGGGGGGGGGTGGAGAAAAGAGTCACATTATCCAACACATCAAAGGCTGCCAACCTTTTCAAGATTGGAGTCTCCAGGAAGTAAAGATTTATGATCGAGATTGTGTGAACAATGCAGGAGAACTAAGGCAAAATCACCATAATCCCACACTCACTTTAGCGACACGAATGGTGGTCAAAATTCAAAACGCAAAAGCAAATTAGTTGGAAAAACTGCACAGCAACAGGGAATGGACATACCAAATGGCCTCTTTAATTGTATGATTTTATAAGGTGAAATTAAAGTTAAATGGTTTTATTTGACAGCAGAAAGTTAGTTATTCCAAAGGGGGTTAATTTAGATCATTGCTATCTTCCACATGCACTCTGCGACTGCAGTATTTACTAATCCAACAGTGACAGCAATTAAATGCATGTAATCCATTTTAGGGTTTCCTGAGAAATAAACACAAGTTGTTTCTTTTTCCTGATTTCTAGGCTATGCAATCCATTGGAAATATGCATGTACATATATCAAGCAAGGTAATTTAAATCTGGGAATAAGATCTTCTGATAGTCCAAACAGGCTGCTATAAATCTGTGAAAAGATTCACCTTGGGCATGTTACAGCAGTGTGGAAATCAGGGAAATAGATTCTGAAAAGCAATTTTATGAGCAATTTTCTAAAATTAAGGTTTTGCTTAAAATCCAAGATATTTTAAATTAGGAAGGGAACAACAAGTTTAATTTGAAATCTTGTTCTCAATGTATGATATTCACTGGTGGTATTAAGTATGAATGAAGAGCAGGAATGATATAAAATCAGATTCAACCAATGAAGCTGCAGAATCGCATTCAGATTCATAGAATATGGCTGTAAATTGGGAGAGAGAAGTGTGCAGTGGGACCTGGGAGTGCAAATTGTGCACCAGTTGCTGAAGGTAAGCACGCAGGTGCAACAGACAGTAAAGAAAGCAAATGGTATGTTGACCATCATTGCGAGAGGTTTCGAGTACAGGAGCAGGGGTGCGTTGTTGCAGTAATACAGGGCCTTGGTGAGGCCACACCTGGAATATTATGTGCAGTTTTGGTCTCCTTTTCCAAGGAAGGATGCTATTGCTCTAAAGGTTTACCAGGCTGATTCCAGGGATGGTGGGTTTGATGCATGAGGAGAGATTAACTAGGTTAGGATTGTTTTTGCTGGAGTTCAGGCAAAGCTGGGGTGGGGGGGGGGGGGAAGAAATCTCCTACAGACTTATCAAATTCTAACAGGACTGAGCAGGGTAGATGCAGGGAAGATGATCCCAATGGTGGGTGTGTCTAGAACCAGGGGTCACAGTTTGAGGATTCGGGGTAGACCATTTAAGACGGAGAGGAGGAGACATTTCTTCACCCAAAGAGTGGTGAGCCTGTGGAATTCATTACCACAGGAAGTAGTTGATACCAAAACATTGAATGTATTCACAAGGCAGCTAGATATAGCACTTGGGGCGAATGGGATCAAAGGTTATGGGGAGAAAACAGGATTAGGCTATTCACGTTGTTTGTGTGAGCTTGCTGTGTATGAACTTCGCTGTCACATTTTCAAGAGACTACATTTCGAAAGGAGTTTCATTGGCTGTAAATCTCTTTGAGACATCTGGTTAAATACTATACAAATGCAAAGCTTACTTTTTAAACACAGGTCTAACATTAAAAACACCAAATTAAAACTGTTTTACATCAAACAAATCTTTATTTTGTTTGCTGAATAGTTATTTCAAAATCTTTAGAATATTGCAAGTAACATTTAATATAACAAAACTTTCTGGCTTGCTACAACTTAAAAGCAGTGACTTATTTCACAAATGTCTTCATTTCATCTCATTCCTGAACATAAAATCAATTAAATCTTACAGGAATAAAATAAAAGGTGAAATATATTTGGCTTCCTTCTCACACTTCAGAGGTTTTAAAAGCAATATCTTTGAGCCGATGTATGCAGCATTATAAAGCACACCGTTGTTCCAATTCACGGGAGGGTATTTCTTCCTGATCAGGATACAAATTGGTGAGAAGCAGTTATTACCAGATGTTAGAACCCGAGTGATGTTCCCATGTCCCAGAATTAGATAACAGGAACCAAATCCTAATTGAGAGTCCAATGCCAGTGTCCTACTAGGTGTCAATACTCAGGTTTATCATGTAAAAACCAGACTAAAATAAAAGTCAGCCTTGATCACTCATGTTCTCTAACAGCTTACTGTCAATGAAGCAAGGGCCAGAAGGCTGAAAGACTGGCCACCCCGTCAGTCCCTGTACTGGAGAACAGGTGCAAATCTGCAGAGTGACAAACGAAATCACAGAAAAACCATTCTTGCCTTCAGAAGTCTTCAGTCATTAACTGTATTTCAAAGTTACATTAATATGAAACAGGTTGGCAGTGGATGCAACTAAAAATCAGGATCACTGCTTAGGAATTTCATCTCACACAGACAGTTGTAAATGGAAAACATCAAATTCTCTTACATTTACATAGTTACAAAAGACATACAGGAAGTCCAGGAATTCAACTATCTGAAGAACTGCTAAAAATGGACAATGATGAAATACAAAGTGATGGACAGGAGAAAATACTGGCCAATCCACCCTGCTCCATCTCCATGATGGCTCGGGATCAAAATGTGATTTTCCCACTGTTGGAGCTCCCAGCCTCCGACCATATATTTGCAATGGGAAAGGCAAAAGGGACAGTAAAACCCAGAGTCAAGGGGGAAAAAAAAAAGAGAGCTGGAAAATAAATAAATGCAAGAGTGCATACAAGTATTTGAAAATAATTTATGCAAATTCTTCTAAATATAATTTGGCACTTCTGGTGATTTTACTTAATGTGCTATTAAGGATTGTAAATTAGGCTTTCAAAGCTTTACATGAGACATTAAATATATAATCTTCAACACAATTTACATTAAAAGCTGGACAAATGAAGTTGGTTTCTGGTCCAGAAGTTTGAAGTGCAAACTTAACACTCAAACTAGCAATGGCTTCAGAGAGTTCCATATAAAATGAATAATTAGATGGCTCCATTTGAGTTTCAGGTTGCACATTATTGTTAAACACAACGCTGCCAGATGGTCTGGGAGACCGTTATAAGTTAACACGCTCAAATATGATGTCTATAAATCACCCTCAACTTCCACCATGAGCCTCTGTTACATGAGGCAATTGTTGCTGATTTCTGTGGGCAGAAAAGTGGGAAATGCAAAATATTTTGATTAATAATTAACATATGCAATAAGTGCTCACAGTAAGAGGTGAAGAAATTACTGGCACAGTTTGAGCAATTGGCCAGTGACGTGTCTATTACCTGAGATTCCTCCTCATAGCAGGACAGAAAATGTCCTGGCAATGTACAAGCATTCTCAAAGCCATTGAGGCAGGTCCAATTTAGTCTCACGCCCACTGCCTTTTGATTTTGATTCAGTAAATTCTGTTTCTCATTCAGGTCAGTTTTGTGAATGCTATGGAATGGAAAATTTTCCATTATGGACACAAAGTCTCAGCATTAAATGCTCACTGTCAGGTTAGGTACAACATGGTTAGATTCTAGATAAGACTCCTCCTTTTCTACCTCAAGGTGCCTCGGCTACCACTTTACAAGAGGCCATCTTCCTGTCCTATTGTGACACTTTCTTTTCCTTAAAATCTCCAGCCATCCTGCAAAGAGACTGCCAAATTAAAAGTTTGGTGCTTGAAGCTTAGCCCACTCGGACATTGAAGTGAAACTGTCAAACTAATTTCACATCCAGACAGCAGAGAGATTTCTGATTTGGGTGGAATTTAATGCAGCTCCAAAGGAAGTGGAAGGCCAACATTTAACTCTCTGCTTCAGCCAATGGCTGATGTAAGGGAATGTTACTCAGCAACAACAAAGTTCAGTGCAGAACAATACCAACAGGGCAGTATCAATCTTTAGGTCAATCCAAATTTAAAATTACACATGCAAACAGATGGCCCCAAGGGTAATTGGTTGATTGTGGAATTATACTCTGCTGAATTTTGCAACATGATGGGGGAATACAGACTCTGCAAATCTTAAGACCTTGTGCATCCTTAACACATTAAATGATTCTTGAAATGTACTCTAGACATTAAAGTACAATTTGTAGTCTCGTCCAGTGAACATTAGAAGTTAAATTAAAAAGAAAATTGATCAGGCACAATGGTCTTACGAACTACTTGTCTTTTGCTACATTAATGAAGTTTCCAAAATTCATACTCAAAATTTCTGAACAAAAATATTATTACATTGAAAGTGAAAGTTCCATATCCTGAGCTGAAGTGGCAATTAAAAACATCATGTCTAATATACTAGACATGACAGATGTGTTGGCCCCTGCACATTTACGCTGATAACCTAAACAGCTTTAATGTCCTGTAGGTCTACCTGGTATGTACTCTGCCTCAATGATTTGATTGTCTGCAGTCTTTTACCATGGAGGTTGAACTGAGACCAGGCCAGAAGCTGCAGCACAGCACACGTGATAGGTACGAAGACCAGCAGGTAAAAGCACCCTTGGCGAATTGCTGTCATCCAGGCCACATTTGATTCCACCACTGGCTTTGTGCTCACAATATCACGTAGTGCATCGTGCTGAAAAATGTCATACCCTGTAAAACACAATTGAGATCAGAGAAAACGGAATAAGAAAAGCCATGTAAGTATTTGAAACAAGAAGCAATTACTCCGGAAAACTGACAAAACCTGATCAGCAGTCAGCTTTACACACTTGTTGAATGTTTTTAAGGTAAAAATGGATAGATTTTTGAACAGTAAAGGAATTAAGGGTTATGGTGAGCAGGCAGGTAAGTGGAGCTGTGTCCACCACTAAGATCTGCCATGATCTTATTGAATGGCAGAGCAGACTCGAGGGGCCAGATGGCCGACTCCTGCTCCGATTTTTTAATGTTCTTTACTAATCAATTAAACTTTCTGCTATGGAGAAAAGCCCTGGGCAGGTGTAAAACAGTCAATCTAATCCAGTCAGCTTCACCTCAAAGATCCCCAACTAGCGTACACTTGGACCAGGGTCCGGGGGGAAAACCCTCTGCTCAAGTAGTGCCATGAGGCTTTCTTAATGCCTACTAGAGAGCAGGAAGGGTCTCAGTTCAGCATCTCGCCTAAAGAGATGAGCTCTTCCTGCTCAGAACAGCACAAAAAAAAAATCAGTGCAGACTATACGCTCCAGTCTCTGATGGACTTGATCCCTTTATCATCAGACTAGGTGAAAGTTCTACCACTGAGCCAAGGCCAATATGGTTACTCTGGTGAACGAGGTAATGCTATTCTCAACAGGAGAATGCAGGATTGTGCAGCTTTGTAGTAGAATGGGCAACTCCCTTCCTAAAATTTGCTCGTTTCATAATGGGTTAAAGTTTACACCACTGATCCTGGTGGTTAAAAAGTAGCTCAAATGTGGGCAAGATCAAAGCTAAGGCTTTCAGTGACTGTCATAATGCAGGAGATCACTCAGTATCTGCATCCAGTTTATGAGTGAGCATTTCACTTAGTGCCATTCCCGCCATAATCCTGCACATTATTTGAATACAGACAATCATCTGATGTCATCTTCAATGGGATAGAAATACAAGGCAATCACTAATAAATCCAATAAATAATTTGCTACATTTGTTTCCCACCCAGAGAGAGCATGCCCTCTAGAATGTGGCATACTCTACAACAAAGTTGGGTGAATGATCACAGATGCATTTAAAATGAGAAGCTGGATAAACACTTCAGGGAGAAATAAAGATATGGAAAGTTCTGCTGATGGGATTAGATGACGTCAGGTCTGAGCATGAATACTGGCAAGGACCAGTGGCATTAAGTGGTCTATTTCAGTGCTGTAAACTATACAAAAAGACAGAACATCAGTCGTACTGCAGGGAATAGTCAGAAACCAGGACACTAGTCAACATTCCTTTAGATCAAATAACTGACTCAGTAGTTGGGAGATCAGTTACCTGTGTAAACATACAAAAGCCACGTCCCGATTAATGGGGCAAATGTCTGTCCGGGTTTGGTTACCAAGGCAACCATGCCAAAAAGCAGTGCTGATGCTGCCTGCTTCCTCTTGTTCATCACAAAATCTTCATCTACAAGGTCGGAGATGACGAGGTTCAGGAGTTCACATGTTCCCTCTGTAAACACCCGGTTACTAGAGAATGGCACACATACAAAAGTGTTAGAGAAAGACAAATGAAAAGTTAATTAATGGAGTAATTTTGAACTTGGGGAAAGAAAATGGCATTTCTGCCTCATGCCAAAGAAACCATAGAACTTGCAATCAGCAAAATAAAAAGACAGAAACACTTCAATTGATGTACAATAATTTAGTTGTCTTATCTGCCTATCTGCTCAGAACGAGAACAAGTTTACAAGTAAACAAATGGATGATGGTATTACATTGACCTCATGATAATGGAAAAGGAGAGTCAACGGACTCAAAACATTTACTTTGCGTTCTTCCCACACAATCTGCCAGACTTGCTGAAATTTTCCAGCAATTTTCATTTTTGTTTCATGATAAGAATCTGTTGGTGAACAGTCTCCCGTTGCAACCTTTTTAAAATGTGGTATTGCCCGTTTAAATGAACAAACTACCTGGTCTTTAAATAGCAACTTGCAGAATCTCTTGACATCCCAAAGAGCTTCCCCAGCAATTGGGTACTATTTAAAGTCCGTATGCAATTGAAATGTACTTTGGGCTGTCTCAAGAACGTGAAAGGTGATATAGAAATTCCAGATTAGGATCATGTGGAAAGAACCAGCTAAGACATCCACGCTGGCTGAAGACAACTGTAAAGTCCAGCCTTGTTTCTGCAGGGCTCTGCTATCAGAGGTGAAAGGTTCATGGTGCCTTGACTTCTTATTAACCGTTTAACTACACAACAATCACAAACAGAACATGGGAGGGTTGCAGAGCTTTGAGCTAATTAAAACTGGCTCTGAGCAATTACAATCACCCTCCACTGAAATTTCAGCAAGTTGGCAACACATATTCATACTAGTCTGGCACTGCCCTGGCATGCTGTGCTTTTCAAGGAACGACAGACTTGCTGATCCAGGTCACAGATAGAACACAGAACATAGAACATTACAGCGCAGTACAGGCCCTTCGGCCCTCGATATTGCGCCGACCTGTGAAACCAATCTGAAGCCCATCTAACCTAAACTATTCCATTATCATCCATATGTTTATCCAATGACCATTTAAATGCCCTTAAAGTTGGCGAGTCTACTCCTGTTGCAGGCAGGGCATTCCATGCCCTTACTACTCTGAGTAAAGAACCTACCTCTGACATCTGTCCGAGATCTATCATCCCTCAGTTTAAAGCAATGTCCCCTCGTGCTAGCCATCACCATCCGAGGAAAAAGGCTCCCTCTGTCCACCCTATCTAATCCTCTGATCATCTTGTATGTCTCTATTAAGTCACCTCTTAACCTTCTTCTCTCTAACCAAAACAGCCTCAAGTCCCTCAGCCTTTCCTCATAAGACCTTCCCTCCATACCAGGCAACATCCTGGTAAATCTCCTCTGCACCCTTTCCAATGCTTCCACATCCTTCCTATAATGCGGCGACCAGAACTGTACGCAATACTCCAAGTGCGGCCGCACCAGAGTTTTGTACAGCTGCAACATGACCTCATGGCTCCGAAACTCAATCCCTCTACCAATAAAACCTAACACACCGTACGCCTTCTTAACAACGCTATCAACCTGGGTGGCAACTTTCAGGGATCGATGCACATGGACACTGAGATCTCTCTGCTCATCCACACTACCAAGAATCTTACCATTAGCCCAGTACTCTGTATTCCTGTTACTCCTTCCAAAGTGAATCACCTCACACTTTTCTGCATTAAACTCCATTTGTCACCTCTCAGCCCAGCTCTGCAGCTTATCTATGTCCCTCTGTAACCTGCAACATCCTATGTAGTCAGTGCAGCAGCTGCTGACAGCCACAGTATTTTGTGGATGCCTAGTTAGGAGCCAGGAGGTTTGTTCTTTTATCTATCACAATTAGAACTATGGTAGTGTCAGAGGACAATGATGGATGCCCTTGTTGCGAAGAGGAACATGGAGTAGTGCAAGAGGGACTTGGAATAGTATGTGATAATTGAATCTGTAATATGGTACATAAGAAGATTGTAAAGTCAAGTACGGGTAGTTCTGTTATAACAGATGTTTTGTTAATGCAAATTGGCTGTAACACGATGGATGAATAGTGGACGCTGTTTGGATAACATGAACTTTCTGCTGTACCGGTATAGCAATTTACATATAATGCTATTTTCTATGGCACAAGGTTACACCAGAACACAATTATTGCGTTATAGGAGATCTACCTGTACATAATTCCCTCGGTTGATTCTCTCACTACTTCATGACTTATTGCGAGCTCAGACCAGTAGCTTGGTCTTTCAAACTCAACCAGCTCGATTAGCGGTGATGTTACCATGCCACCTTTAGGGATGGACACACAAGTGAGATATACATGGCTGTAGGTAGGCAGGTACTAAGAAAGGAAACGTGGCTGCTCCCACGAGGAGCTCGAACATGCACTTCACCAACACCTTCCACCCCAATCTTAAGTTCACCTGGAACATCTCCGATACCTCTCTCCCCTTCCTGGACCATCTCTGATACCTCTCTCCCCT